CCGGGAGGCGGAGCTTGCAGTGAGCCGAGATTGCGCCACTGCACTCCACTCCTGGGCAACAGAGCGAGACTCCGTCTCAAAAACACACACACACACACATATTTTTGGTGCCCATTTCATTTGTTTTTATGAATTCTGAGGCCACGTTTTCCGATAATAATAATCTTTGCCTGTTCTAAATGTTTAGTACTTGCTGTCTGTGGCACTGATTTAACATTTAATCCATACTATATGTTTATGAAACATAAACTCATTAAACCCTTATGTTTATTTCTTATGTGTAGGTCTGTCCTCCTCAACAAAGCTGTAAAGTACTTGTACCAGTTAGCTACTGCTGTGTAACAAACTACCTCAAAACACCCTGGCCTAAAATAGCCCTTCTTATATAGGTAGCTCTTGTCTGGGGAGCTGGCGTTTGGGTGATTTGGCTAAGCTGCAGATCCTTAGGCTCTTTCAGACCGCTGTGGGTCCGCAGGGGAGCTCTTGTCCTTCTCCAGGGAGCAGCAGGCTAGCCCAGGCACATCCTTCTTATGGCGATAGCAGCAGTGCAGTGAGCAAGTGAAGCCATGTGGGGTCTCTTGAGGCCTAGGCTAGGAAGTGACACACCATAATTTCTGCTTCTGTCTATTGGTCAAAGCAAACCACATGGCTGAGCTTAGAATCAAGGGGTTGGGAAACATACTTGTCCTGTTAACAGGAGGAACTGCAAAGCCACATGGCAAGAGGGTGTGGATATAGGAAGGAGTGAAGAATTGGGGTGTTGGATGCAATTTAGCACGTGCTCAAGGGTAGATTTTTCTGTGCTTCCCTACAGTGCCTAGCCCTGTATTGTATACAGATGTATCAGTTATCTATTGCTTTGTAACAAGCTATCCCAAAACGTAGGGGCTTAAACCATCAGCCATATTTTTTGCTCATGATTCCTTGGGTTGGCCAGGGTGGGGCTCACCTGGGATGGCTCATTTCTGCCCTGTGTGATATCAGCTAGGTTTGCTTATGTGGCTGCAATTTGAACTGGAGGATCTAGAAATCCATATGACTGGCCCCTTGTCTGTGATTGCTGGAACTCTAGAGCCTGTCTTTCTATGATCTTTCAATTTCCAAGGCCCCTCTCACTCCATAATCTCTCCAGCAGGGTAACTGGACAGTGTTTACATGACCAGTTCAGGGTTTCAAGAGAATGAAATCAGAAGGCAAGGCCTCATAAGGCCAAGACTCAGGAGCTGTACAACATCATTTCTCCTGCATTCTATGCGTCAAAGCAAATCCCAGATTCAAAGGGAAGAGAAACAGACCCCGCTGCTGAGGTGTGGCAAAGTTGCATTGCAAGAGGGCACATGGGATGAGAGGGACTGTTGCAGCTGTCTTTGGAAAGACACTGCCACAACAGTAAGAATTTCAGTAAATACCTGTTGAATGAGCATTTAAATGCAATGAGAGAAGCAGAAGCAGAGTCTGCCAGTGAAAAAGACTCCAGTTTGGGATTCTGATGCAATAAAATTAACATTGTCTCTGCTCTCTAGTTATCTTCAGATTTGTCTAAGAAGAGCTCAGACGATGGATTTCCCCAGATCCGCTGGCATCAAACAGCAGACTTTGGCTATGTCCCCAACCCAAAGATGCCCAATACTTTCATGGCCGTAGCTATGGACCTCTGTGATAGAGACTCGCCTTTTGGCAGGTATGATTGCTTCTTGGGCTTTGCATGAACAGTGTGTTTTCTCTGTAGTCTTTCACTCTGATGTTCACAGGTGAGGGGCAGATTAGACTGAGGATTGGCACTTAGAATCATGTATGCTGGGATGTGCTGCAGATGTTTGCTGCAGTAACAACAACAAACATCTCAGTTCTTTGATGCACCAAAAGTTTATTTCTTGCTCACTGTCTATGTGAAAAGAAGATCAACAGAGACTTTGCTCACTGTAATCATTCACAGACCCAGAGCAATAGAGGCTCCAAGTTGACCTGTGCTTCCACAGTCATCTTAAAGTCTCATACTGGCAGTTCAGTGCTTCCACACAAGTCATTTCTGCTCACATTGCACCGGTCGAACCAAGTCATAAGGCTATGGTTAACTTCAGTGACAGCAGAAATGGAATTCCAGCACTCCTCTGGCCGCAGAGGGGGAATACTGGGATATCTGTGAGCAGCCCCAGGGAATACCGCACAGTAACTGTAGGATGTGAGGGGATTTCACATAGGAAATAGAGTCCAACACACAGTGTCTGGATTATAGGAGGAACTTGATTGATTTATTGAATAAATGCATAAAAGCTCTAGGGGACCAAATAATGAACAGTTCATTCAGAAGAAACCTGACTTTTAGTGGTTAGGAACAATCTTATGAGTTAGCTCTCTTAGGTTAGTTCTGGTATCTTTCCTTCCTCCATGTCTCCCTCCCTCCTCCCATCCCTCCCTTTATTCCTTCCTTCCAAGCCATCTATTGTTTCAAGGTTTCCAACCTATAGAAGGCCCAGAGCCCCATCTATGGCTACCATTCACCATTTCCCTTAAGTTGACTAGCCACTGATCACGGAGTTCAGTCAGCTTTATTTTTACTTTCATAAAGGGTGCTTTGTATAATCCCCCTTTTTTAAAAAATGTGGTTATTGTTGAGTTTAAACCCAAAGTTCTCTACTTGTTCCTCATCGTGTAGTGTCCACCCGCGAGATAAACAGACTGTGGCTTATCGGCTGCACCTGGGGGCCCGTGCTCTGGCTTATGGTGAGAAGAACTTGACTTTTGAAGGACCACTGCCTGAGAAGATAGAACTCTTGGCTCACGAGGGGCTGCTCAATCTCACATATTACCAGCAAATCCAGGTGCAGAAAAGGGACAACAAGATATTTGAGGTGAGAAGAACAGCAGAATAAACAGGGGTTCATTTTGTGGTGGAGTCAGGATTTCCTCCACACCGAGGCCGTCTCTTTTGTTACAACATTACGATGCGGCAGGTCTTGGTTGGCTGGGGCTGAGCATATTTCAGAGCCGCAAATAAACAGCTGTTAATTCATTAGCTTAGAGGCACTTTTGACAGGACAATCAAGAAAGGGAAAACAAGTCCATATTAAAATGGACTTTAAAAATTTTAAATTTCCTTTTAAATGTTTTCTCCCAAAGCAACCATCTTTGCTAGGGCAGGGCCTGCAGCTTTATTTATAGGTTACCTGTTGAAAGATCCTTGCTCCAGAAGATTCACCTGATCCTTGGGTGTATTTTTTGTTACACTCTCCTAAATCCTGACATTCTCTGAGTTGAGGTTCTCCTTTGAGAGGCTTATTCTTAGGTATTTGTAACTTAGTGTGACTTATATAATGAGACTCCTTCTAATACCTAGCAGGGGTCATTCTGCTGTGGAATTGGGGCCATTGATGAAAGAGGTTATTTAGGAGTCTCTGATAGTTGAGGGTGGGGGGTGGAGGCATTCCTACGTGGAACATTTAAATGAGTGACTTTGGGAATCACGAGGCCTTAGGTTGGGAAGGGGTGTGTGAAAAGAATGCATTGGAGAAGAGAAAAGAGTATTAAAAGCAAACTTTTAACTACACAGGAGTTTATCTAGGGCTGCTGTTTCTGAAGTCCTAACTACGGTATCCACCTGCCTCAGATGCTTGGTTGGCACTTACCCCACTTAGCTTCTTTCCACACTGGGTTCCAGGTGAACTGAGAAGTCTGCATTCTGAGCTCTCCTCCTTTAGTCAGTTGCTGGTGGTCTGCCCATCCTCTGTTCCAGGACAGAATTTAACCTTTGGGTTCTGGATAATTTGTATTCCCGTTTCTGGATTGCCTTCTGGCTTGAGAAAGGCTTCGTATCTAGAGTTCCTTTATGCCCCTTTGGGAGTGCCACAGAGCAGCAGCAGCAGCTGGGCCACTCTGTTCACTTAAATTCCTGCCTGCCTTGCTGTTTGGCAAGAGGGGTCACCCAAAGAATGTTCAGGGGAGCCTTCCCTAAATGCCTCATGTGATCATGCTTGTCTCCCCCAGCGAATGTTTTATTTATTAAAATTATTTATTTAATCACATGAACATGTATTATCAACCTGTGGCTATACTGACTAGATCCAAAGTGGGCTCAGGTTTCTTCTGGTTACTGTAGGAGTAGGTCCTTGGTGATGAGTGTCTCCTTTCCTCCCATCCATTCTGTCTGAAAGAGCAGTGCCGCTTCTTAGAAGACCCTTCTGACCTAATCATTCCTATTTTATGGCTCTCTTATTAGATCTCCTGTTGCAGTGACCATCGATGCAAGTGGCTTCCAGCTTCCATGAACACCTTCTCCACCCAGTCCCTGACCCTGGCGATTGATTCTTGTCAGGGCACCGTGGTTGCTCTCCGCTATGCTTGGACCACGTGGCCTTGTGAATATAAGCAGTGTCCCCTATACCACCCCAGCAGTGCCCTGCCAGCCCCTCCCTTCATTGCTTTCATTACAGACCAGGGTTCTGGACATCAGAGCAATGTTGCTAAATGACTGTTTCAATATGATCAGAACTTAGATATAAGGATGGGTCCTTCAGATTTTAGCATTTAGGAGTTTCAATAATAACCATTGCTTTTAAAGGAAATTAATAGAAAGCCTCATTGAATGGCTTCCAGCTAGCACATGGCTGTTTCTATATTCTGATGAGCCCAGGCTGGTAGGTAACTTGAAATGCTTGCTTTTTTTGTCCCCTAGTTAGTCGAAGGGTCTGTATTGGACTAATTCTGAACTACAGACAAATTGGACCTCAATATCATTCACTTCCCTCATATTAATGGGAGTGAAATATCTAATACTTTTGCTCCTTGTTATCCAGAGTTGTGGGATCTCAGGATTGGAAGATTTTAAAGGCCGCATAGCCCAGCTAGTGTTCATGTGTT